CTCAAAATATTTAAAAAATGGATAATCAGATATAAAGAGATGTCTTTGTTAGATGGTGGTACTATTTAACTACCTGCAGCAAATAAGACAGACGTAGTATTTTAAAGGAGCTTATTTGAAAGAAGTGATTTCTGAAGAAGACACCATTAGGTACAGATATGCTTGAATTAAGAATACCATAATGTTTGAAATTCTGCTTTGAAACAGAAGTGTCATAAGCACACAATTTAAAATGTTTTGTTCCAATGCACCTGACAGAGCAGCTTTTCACTTAAGGATAAATCCACCTACCTCCAGTTGTGCGATGTTCTGGGCACCACATTACTCAACTGTTTATAAAGCGCCCAGGAAAACAGATGTCAGAGTATGCAAATTTAATCCTAAATATCTACCGACACATCTCACTGTGCAGTGATAGTGCATCTGATTTAATACTGAGAAATTAAAATCTCAAAGACACACACCAAACTAAATGCTGCAATGAACCAGAAGACAAGAAGGTCATGTTTTTACAATGTGATAGCAGAAGACACAATATTCTGCTGCTTTTGTCAGAACAAGAACTGAGTCTATTCTCAAGGGCTACTGAAGGAGGCAATTCACATTTACACTTTACTGTAAAAGACCTTGGTTTCCCGGAATTCACATCCATGAATTTTTTGAGATATTTTCTCAAGGAAACACAGATTTTTACCTAAGGTAGGAGGATGTCAGAAAGGAGGCCAGAAGTTTCAACAACCTGAGTTATGCTTAGCTGTTATCTTATTTTGTGGCAATCAGACAATGGTTTGATGTAACTATTTGCAATGTCGTGACAAATTTTGGACTATTTGGACCAAAAAGTTGATTTGAAGAATACCTTTTGAAAAAGTGAAATTTTACTTTACCATTTTAAAGAAATTACTCCTATTTTGTATTTTACCTTTTTCCTTTCAAATCTACTTTAGTGGTTTGGAAGGTCAAAAAAAAACAAACCCAAAAATAACTTGTAATGCAAAATTAATTAGCAGTTTTATTTTCCCAACCAGTTTGCAAACCTAAAATGTGTGGTGCAAACCTAAAACTGATCAGCATAGGCCTGGTATGGGGAGGAGCTCATGTTCTTCCCCATGTCACCCACTTAGTTTGAATGCTGGAGCTCATTTCACTCTGATAATCCAGGCTCAAGGTCTCTTCTGTCTTCTATGTGTCAGAATCATGAAGAGTGGGAATCTCCCATGGGAGTACATGGGGGTACATGAAACAAATTTAAATAAAATATTTTGTGATCAGTCATCTTTCCAATGCAGGAAATCTCTTCTATTATGAACTATAATCTCCTTGGCTTCTCCTCCTTTTGGCTCTGGCTGTGACCAGCAAAGAACATCATTAGCAAATTATCAATGCAGGGCAGTTCAAAAAATGTTTAATCAATGACAGTTAGTAGTGTAGGTCTAAATTTTTAGAGCTAGAGGCTCAAATCCATGAGACCTACACCAAAGACACTGGTAATATGTCATTGCCACACAGTGCAAAGTGGCAATAACAATGCACAATAGGTGGATAGGTAAAGGAAAAACATTACAGGCACTTAGAAAAAAGAAAAGCAAATACACCCTTGGCTAACCACATGAAAAAATGCAGAAAAAGGTGTCCACACTGCTAACAAGGAAAAAGTTATGGAGGATTTCATTTTCTGAATCCTGAAGACCTTAATGGAAAAAGGAATAAGGAAGAGGAAGAGGAAAAGGAAGAGACTCATAAAACAGCAATGTCTGCCACAATGGAAAGTAGACAGTAAAAAAAGATGGAAAGTAGAGAAAAACTGCATTAGTCCACAGTTTTATGCATTTCCCTTGTATCTGCACAAATCAAGTGTTCAAACCAAGTTCTTTGCAGAAAGCAGGGAATGAAGAGTAAGTCATAAACCCTTGTGCTTTTGCAGGTATGCAAGGGCTCATTTGCACTGATTTCCCAGCCCCAGTCACCAAGCAATGCACTTTGAGAAACCAGTCCTTTTTACTCTAAGAAGCTCTATACCAGTATAGACTACCTGGCTGAAATTTTGTAATGAACTTGTTTTTCCAACTGGCATAAAAGATCCTCTATACTCTCTCACCCACTCTCCTCTGTGGCAGTTACTGCTGTACCAGGTGACTTCAGCACATGAGAGGAATAGGAACATGCTGACAACACTGGGGTGAGAGCTTCCAGCCAAGTCTGATACATAAAAACAATGATTTCTTTAAGTCTTATGCTGCAGTTTACAGAAGGTGAAAAAAGCTATTGTCACCTCTGTTATAGACTCAATAAATATCTAGACCATAACAGGGGACTGGCTGATGAGCCTAGTTCATCTCTGCTCAGTGTCAGATTTCCTTGCTGTCAGGAATTTCCAAGGTTATTTTGACAACAAAAGTTGCTTGGATTCAGACCAAGTTGTCTACATCTGTGATTGCAAAGCAGTATCTTGGGATGACAGATGTTTAGCTATTTTGGCTTGCTTTTCAGCTAGTGGTGTTCAGTGAAGTTCTGGAGGCTCTGCAGGAGCCGAAACCTGCATATTGGGCACCTGCAGCTCTGTCTCATGAGCTGGCAACAGAGCTCAGGAGTCTTTTGAAGTGGGTCATGACTTTCCTTAAGAAAACAACTGCAAGGCATCTGCTCAAAAAACAGTCTTTCAAGGTAAATCCTGCAGAGAGCAGATATATTTTGATCCTTCTTTTCTTTAGGATGAATTCTCCAGTCTTTTGCAGCAATGTAAATCTGGTGATATCCAGAAATCTGAGATTTTGACCCTAAGTTTTATATACTTGTGTGTATGTGTGAATGTGTGTGTATACATATATGTATCTTTTGCTTGCTTAAGTCCACAATTAAGTTGTGAATGTATGATGACATAAACTGTCCTTTGTCAGAGCTAAAGAAGTTTCTTTAGTGTTGCTTTACTTCTGTTTTCAGGATGTCACAAAGGGTTCATGTGGTGAAGCCATGTTGTCCAAGGCTGGCTAAAATATTCTGTACCACTGCCTTATAGATACAGGCTATGATGCCATAGGAACGAAAAGGCAGACCAGTATAATGACAAAACCTCTTCTCTGCTTCCTAGAGTACCTAATATAGGAAACAACTCATGACCACATGAGTTCATCTCTTCATCCTTCATCTTTTCATCCACAACCTATACATATCCAGGGCTGGTGCCATTAATCTCACTACAAGGCAATTGCTAATTAGCGATTTTTTTTTTAAATTGCAGTATTTTTTTGCTAGATTGTAATGATTTTTTTAACCAATAAAAATAAACTTAGCATTTTGGTTTTTAACTTTATTATATTTAATTCTGTATGTTTCTGGAAGTTTATCTTTATTTCCAGAGAAACAGTCATGCACATGGTGTCAGTCTATATCATGCTCAAAATATTTCTATATTAAACTTGTGTATATATGCCAGGCTCTGCTCAAATGTTCCTCAGGAGAACCAAAGATCTAAATGCTTGGAATAAGTTTTAATTAAGTATGGAAACTTCCCAGAATGAAAAGAAAAACCTTTCTAAATATAGACATCTTAAACATCTTGCAAAAACCACATTCAGTTGCCCCAAGCAATGGCTAGCCATACGGAAGAAATTGTCCAGACTGCTTGCATTTTCTGGCTTAGTGCAGGAAACCTCTAGGCCTTACTACATAAAGAAAAACTTCCTTATAAAAGATTAACTCCCAAAACATTCAACTGAAAACAGATTCTGGGAACAGATGGGTCTAAACCTCTGTATTGCATTGTAAAACCTCTAGAGGAGCTGGACTGGAAGCTAGGAAAGAATTAAAAATTCTTAAATTTGAGCCTCTTTCCTCCTTTTCTCCTGGTCTATCAATCTGTCTGGGTCATTTTACCAATCTCCCAGTTACTTAATGATTTATTTAACAGAGGAGACTATGTGGTGAGAATATCAGTCAGTCAAACTAATAACAGGCTGAAGTAACAGTGACAACAGCAACCAATGCAGTACCCAAAGAGACAGTAGGGTGCATCTCTGCTCCATGCTCCAAGGATGCAACACTTTGCACTGTCCTTCTTTGGCTTCCCAAACATGTTTTGTAGTTAGAACAGAGAGGCCAGTGTGTTGACAGATAGATAGCCTACAACTAATCTAGATAATTCTGAAACAGTGGCAAGAATCACAGTTTCTTGTGACCTGGCACACAGTAAAGTAATGTGTTTGGCCACCATGCGGGGGAAGAATGCCAAACACCATTGCTAAACTCTTAATGAAAACAAATACAACTCTAAAGGGTATGAGAAGTTGCTCGTTTGATCTTTTTTAAAAATTTATTTACCATGAATAATTTTATTTCTTTGCATCTTACTTTCTATGTTAACTATTAAAGACAGGAATCCTCAAACTGCATCCTTGAAAAATACTAACTTTGTACGTGTACCTAGAAAAAAATAAACAAGAACTCAAACACATACCAAAACAAGGTGCTACCTTGCACAAATAATTCTAAACCTAAAGAAGGAATGAAAGAATGGATGGTGTGTGTCAGAGATAAGTTGTACCACTGCATCTGAGGGGCATGTTAAAATGCAGCTCATGAGGGCAATTTAAATGCCAGGAAGTGGAACAGTCACATGCATGTAATGTAGTAACATATCAGTCAAGGAATAAAGACATTTTAAGAATCAGGCATTTAATATGAAGGATGTTTGTAACAGGTTGTCTTATAATAAGAGCATTTCCAAGGTAGATAACGACAGCAACTGAACAGAAAAAACCCACTGTAGTATTCTAAAGGTTGTGGTTTAGCTGTCAAAGCACAGATAGATGGACAGACGTTATATATTGCTAGAAGCTGGGTGAGTATCATTATCATTGGCATAGAAATGGCAGAGGAATGGGGGAAAGCTAACAGGGCAAGTAATGAAATATGTCGGAGAGAAATCTGTTCCCCTTCTCTGACTTCTGGATGGCCCCTGCTCTTAAGGAATAATACACTGAAAAGTATCAAATGCTGCTTACCTTTCAATTTTTCAGCCAGCAAAGCAGCTTCATGTTCAGAATAATGCATTATTGCTGGAGGGGAAGGAGGGCGCAGTCTGTCTTCTTCCATTTTGCGTCTGTGGCGTTCTTCTCTGGCCAGCATTCTTTGTTTGCATTCCCATTCATAAAAGTCATCTCTTGCCTGAGCAAAATCAACATGAAGGCGACCTGAATCCTTTTTGTCTGTGCTAGATCCTAATCTCATGCGGTAACCTGAAATCAACAAGCAGAACTAACTGTTGCAAGACTTCTTTGCTTATTTTTTTTTCTTCTTTTCTTTTTCTCCTCAAGTGCAGCTAAGTAAAAATGTACATTAACAGATCCCCACATATCTATGCAGGATCTATCGATCATTGTGTTTTCAAAGGAAGATAAAGATTCACCCACTCATTTTTCCTCACAGTTTTCTACATCACCTGTCAACACAGTAGATGAGCTGAAAAGTTGACCTGAAAGTACAGAATCTGTATTCCTATCTAAAAGTCTCTCAAACTATGTAATTTTTCCTACTTTACACTCCCAACCTTTATAAGTGCAAAGGCCAACTAAACAAAAAATAGCTACTAAAAACAGATCTGGTTTGGTCTTAATGTAGAGTTCTTCTTCCTCTGATCCTGTTGAGAACATGTGCAGCTTAGTGTTTTTCTCCAGTTTGCCAAAGGATTTGGAAGTATGAGGAAAGGCTAAATTTTATAAAAATCATGACTACAGATGAATGAGAAAATTGTGCTACACAAATTCCTGTGCCACAAATAGGGTGGTGTCATATCTGTATTGGTGCTAGATTTCAAATTTTGAGGCTTTACAATAGCAAACGCTACTTTCCAATTCTCTATTGGAAATACTCTGACAACAAATATAAACCACCTACAAATGAATTAAGTTCAACATTCTTTAAAGTAATTTTAAAAGTGTGGATGGATTCATTAGACATTTGCAAGACCCCTATCAGAACAAATAATGAAACCTGTTGTGCCTCACCTTTAGCGATGTCCTACATACTCAGAACTCGGTAAATGTATCATACGCTAAAGCTAACAGACTGCAAAGGCTTTGAGTCAGGACTACGCAGCAGTACAACAGGGCCCTGCTCTGAACTAAACCCTTTGACTGCTGTCAGAGAACAAACAAATCATACCAAAGCTATAAAAGGAGCTTTTCGTGACTATACTGTGGAAGAACATATGCTGGGCACCTATCTTTTTTTAAGTTTTATTTCCAAGCCCAGGAGATACTTGCAGAGCAGTTTAGCTAACTTTCAAAATGCTTATTTAGAGAAAGCTGCAAACAGAGCCCTCAGTTGCATGTAAAATGAACCAGTCTGCACAGGGCTAGCTCCAGCTTCTCCATGCCAACCTGCTGCAGTAGCCTCAGAAGCAGACCAGCCCAGCAGAGACTTCTCAAACCACGGGATGCTGCAAGGATGAACTTTGTGCTGAGCTGGTGCATAGGAACTCTTCAGAGACACACACTACTACAACCACTGTGTAATAACTCCAGGGGCAGGAAACTCCTCTTCAAAATGGCAGGAAAAATAATTTTTGCTGCTTTTGAGCAGCAATCCAAGAGAACTAACTTTTCAGTTTCAAGATTTTCCTGTGGTTTGAAGAGCTTCAGCGCCTCACCACCACAGTTAAAGCTCAGTTTTGAACACTTCTCAGGGACAGCAAAGCTAAGACTTGTGTAGTAGATTAGGAGCATCTTTGCAAAAATGCATATCCAAGTATGCACTGTTTCTTTTACTGCTGGAAAAACATCCTGCTGTAGGAATACAAGGGACTGTCTGTACTACAGCACATAAGAAACAGCAGCTTCAAAGACATTAAATATCCATATATGTAGTGATCCTTCCAAAACAAACAACCTGGATGCCTTTTGAATTGACATTTTCCTTTCAAACGTCTTGTGGAGTTCAGCTAAGTAGTCTGTCAGTAAGGAATGGCTATGACTTTCATTTTCCAGCAAGGACCTCAAAGCCAGATTAAAAATTCAAGGTAAGTGTTTCTGAGGCTACTCAAAGCCAGAAGGCATCAAAAACTTCCATGGAACCTAACAAATCTGGTCTTCAAGGGTGAACTAGGACTGAGTAAGGCAAGACAGGTAAACAAGGGGATTGTTTATTTTAAAGCTCCTCTATTTTGCTATGCTTTCTCTTGTGCAGAGGACTAAACACTGCTTTTCCCCCAGAAGGCTATTTGTGGTCGTATATGTAACTCTAGTCACAAGGTGTTGAAGAATTACAGATACACTATATTCAGTAAGACATAATAGAAGAGTGTGAGTGACCTTTCAGAGCTGGGCCCTGAACTAATGAGGGGGTAATTATGTGGTTTTATCTACAGAGGTGTAAGCATGAAGGGGCCAGCCAAAAAGGGTCAGTGGTGCAGCTATCCTGATAACTGTGACAAATGTTAACCCCCCCCAGTTTGACTTGCCAGCTGCATTCCTCAAACAGTGATTGCTCTGTGCCAAAACAGCATTATCAGCAATGTGAAAGGACACTGCTAAGGTGCCAGGTCTCGTGAACCTAAAATTAGATCTCCCAGCTGGGCTGTACTTTCCAGGAAGACACAACTCTCTTCCTCTCCCCCCATCTTTTGCTTTGTTGGCAGGAGCACATTGGGCATGGACAGAGAGAGAAACATATCACTGCAGGATGCAAGACTCTTGTGGAGCTCAAAGCCCCACTTAATCTGAATAAAGAACTATTGAAAAGGACTCTGCATCTATGGGTTGTATGTGCACCAGCAAAGTTGAGTTTTATTAAAGTGGCCCTCGTTTTTGAAGTAAATGGGGATAATGGAAAAAAACCCAACACTGAACAGTGTAAATTGCAGTTCCAAACCCAGTACCCTGAGCAGCACTGGACAAATGGTTCCCTTTAGGTAACCAGTTTAAGTGCCTCTAAATTAAGAAATTTTTGAAATTGCCCATGAATCACCCTGAAAAAAATATTTGACTGCTTGTTTAACTCTAAAAAATTAAGGTGGTCAGCCAGCCAAGTGGTTTCCACCAGCACAGAAACTTAGAGTAGCCTGCTGGGTCAGTCCAATTCTCCTGTCGGATCAGGGTCAACTTCAATGTATGATCAGGTTTCTCAGGGCTTGGCATCTTTCCTTTAACAAAAAAAGCCAACACCTTTGGCATGACTTCTTGCACCTTCCTAAATCAGGTTTTGTGGACACTACAGGACCAATGGCTCCTTGATAGTCAGCAAGATGCTGTGTAGCAAGTGATGCACAACTGGCAGGTCCTACTGCGTATATGAGATCTTCAGGCACACATCTGGGTTGGCAACTTTGAGCTTCAGGGCAGCTGGGAGGCTCGTTTTTTTCCAATATCATGTCTCATTAATGAGATTTTAGGGTATTTGAATGTACGACAGAACCACTTGACATTGCTTCCCCTTCATGCCTGGGCAATGAATTGCCCTCAAAGCCCCTTTTCCCTATCCCTTTGCTCAGGACTGTAGCTAGCACTAACTGCGTGCCTAGCTTGTCACTTTTAATTTCAGTTTTGCACACAATGGCAGAGAAAAAGATTTTGGGAACTTGCCAAGATCCCCACTTGAAAGGAGCAGCAACAGGAAATATTAATAAGGGTGTTAAATAAAAATCAAACACAGCATTTCCATATCACAGATCTAATAAAAACTCTCTGGCTTGACTTACCTTTGAGTGTTGCTATACTGGGGAGCGGCCAATAGCTGCTCTCTAACTGGGCATCTAGATCAGTGTTGATGATGATCAGCGAGAACATAAAATACCAGTACATGGTATTAAATGGAAACCCACAGGGGAAAATATCAGCACAGGAAAAATGCATACACACGCTTTTGGGGTATAAACAGGTCTGTCTCAAACCACCTGTTCATCCCGTATTTTCAAGTCCAGGGCCATCAGTATTTGCAGGAGTTACCGAATTGTCAGCCACAAGAGTAAAGTACATACAGTTTGGAGAAAGAGCTTTCTCATGGGAAGGTATGGCAACTTTAGAAAATCTTTTCCTCAGAAGATCAAAATGTAACTTTCAGGGCTAAATGAAAACTGCCCTTCCTCAAGTCAACTTTTTATCATACCCTTCTACTCATCTCCCAGTCTCCTTTTCATACATATTTACTTGGGAACTACTTGATGGGTTTTGTAATCACTTGCACTATTCTGATGATAAGCATGGGATAAATACAAAGTCTGATTAGATTAGATGGGGTAGACAGATAAAAATGATTAGGTAGACAAAATTATCATTATATTACAGACATCAAAGGCACGACTTCCCCTTAATATAACATGCATACTATATTAACCACAAATTCTGTCTGTATGTCTCCTTTGTCTCTTGCAGGGAAAATGCCTTAAGAATATGATTAATCCCCACCATTTCAGAATACATTATGTTTGAGAATGAAATAAAGACTGGTTAAAAAAACCCCAATAGTTCACTACAAATAAAACATGCCTCTGCCTAATGCCAAACCTCCCTGCTTGGTGGTGATGGTGGACAGTCAGTGCTCCCTGTTTCATCTGCAGAGTCCAATGCTGGTGGTAAAAAGTGAAATTTGGCTGCAGCGTGCCCCTGCTTTTCTTCCTCCTTCCTATCAGCCCCACTGGTTCTTTCCCTGATCTGGTCAGAAACAGTAAGTACAATACTTTATGAAAAAGAAAAGACATGAAAGAAAAGACAGATGGGGTGGAGACGGTAAGAGGAAGCAGTGTGACTATGACAAAAGGAAACGGAGGGAGGAAGGACTGATGGATCGGGAACTTGGAAATAAACTGGCAGAAAATACAGGATGAGGACAGGAATCTGTCACTTCCATCTCTGCTTGTGTTCCTTATTCTGAATGCGCACTTTAGTGCCTTATGAACAAGGGCATATGGCAGCACAGGGAATTTCATACCTCTAATCATCAAATCTGGTCCTCCAGGATTTCAGGCATATACGATTAAAATAAAAGTTGACTTGCAGTGAAGCAAAGGGTGCAGTTAACTGCCAACAAGCAGGAAACTGAGCCAGAGGGACACTGGCTCTGGCCCAGGGTAGCAGCCTCTACCTTTCCTTGCTCTCTTTCTTGCCACTGTTTCCTTTATCATATACAGCAATACCAGCTCCTATTGAAACTGGTGTGCCCCTCCTCTGCTCTGTTATCTGTGGAGAGGGGATCCCTTAGAAGTTGGAAGCGGAGAAGTGTGCTACTGCTTCCTACTACTGCAATGACTGTAATCCATTCCAGTGAAGTACAGCATTATGATAGTAATGTGAATAAATGAGTAAACAGGAAGAATGGAAACTGGGAAGAGTTGATGAGGAAGGAAGAAGAAATGCAGTGAAAATAATAATTTAAAAAGTAAGAAAAAAACCAGGGTGGAATGAAGATCTGGAAGAAACCTGAAAATAAAGCAATGTTTCAAAGAAAACTTTAAAAAAAACCTCATAAAAGTAAAAATTTTCTGTAGCTCTTCAAACAGATATTGAAAGGAAGTAGCCAAGTTAGGAAAAAAAAACTAACCCACAAATCCAAACACAAAAACCTTTGTGAAACGAAGGAGCTAGGTTTTTTCCTGACCACATATTTCAAAAGTTCAGATATTTTCTTTACTTACTTTCTTTCATTTTAAGATGTAGTTGATGGTGATTTGAGTAAACACGTTTCTAGCTGTGTGAGTTTCCTATGGACACCTCCAGAACATTGAGGTTACGACCAGAAGACGGCTAAGGTGGGAGCTCAAACAAGGTATCCCTAACCATTAGCTGTCCCCCAGGCTCCATTTTGGATGGTCCCAGTGGGTCTTTTTGAGGTCACCCTACAAAGGATGGGTGGTTGTAAGCCAGTCTGTGTCAGCTCATCTTGGCCATGGAGCAGTCTCTGGCCCTTGTTTATTTAAGAATAACTTGCATGTGGGGTGAAAGGGTTACACTACACTTGTGGGGCAAAACAATGCTTGTGGGTCTCCCCAGGACCCAGAAAGAGAGAGATGAACCAGCTTGTGGAGACAAATACATTCAGGGAATGGGATGCAGCTCAGAAAGTTGTAGAAGGGCTCAGTGAGGAAGCCAATCCCTCTATGAAGGTGCCTGTAACCTTAAGAGGGCACAGACAGTCACTGAAGCCTGATATGTGAAAGCAGAATTGGTTTTCATCTTTTTTCTTCTTTCTTTTTTTAAAATTTTTTTCCTCTATGACTTACAGGGGTTTTTTTTGTCTGTTCCTTTGTTGGAAAATAAGAGAGATTCTGAAATTTTACACCTGAGTTTCTGTGGTACTCGTTATCCTGGGAGGCAACAGACGTAGCTTACAGATGGGGCTCAGAATCTAACCCATGCAGTAGCTGAATACATGTACACATAAAGGCAGACTTTATTCAGACTGCACAGCAAATCTATAAAAATATGCCAATGAAATTGCCAGCTTATCAGAGAAATTGGCACTGGAAAACAGCAGTGTTCCTGGCCTAGTGCCCTCATCTTTCCACAACCTGTGAGCAAAACTACATAAACCTGTGTAAATCGAATATAAGATAGTTCTGTAGTGAATTTCAGGATCTGTTGCATTGTTGTGGGATGGCAGGAAATTGCTCCTGGTTAAGCAACATAAAAAAACCACATACAAGTCTTGGCAGACACAGAGAAATACAGGATTGCCCCTTGCCACTCCAAGCTACAGTCACTGAGCTGAAGAAAGACTTGCTGAGATAAAAGCTAAGAAAATAAGGAAACATTAGCATCACAAAATACAAATGAGAAGCAAGGAAAATCCATTAAAGAATGTGAAGTACCAGAAAGGTAAATGGCTTTATCAACCATGAACTCCTCTGAAAAACGAATGTGACAAAAATTCTTCTTGCTTTTCCGAATTGCTGTTATATCTCCACACTGCTCAAAGACTTCCTGAATAATTTCCTCCGTCGCATTTTCTGGTAATCCTCCAACAAATACTGTTTTACACCCAGGAGGTCTTTCTCTTGTTGAAGGTGGTGGAAGATCTAAGTCAAAACAGAAATCACATTGGAATACAAAATTTGTCTTTTGATCCATTGGCACTATTCACTCCCCTAATCAGTTCTGGGCAGCAACAGTTATTTGACATAGCATGGAGGCGGGAGAGAGGGAGAAGCAAAATAACTGAATATTGCAGAGATTGTCCAAAATTGATCACTTGAATCTAAACCTTTTCAAGTTCTAGACGGTGTTTCAGAGATTAATTCCTGCCACTGCAGGTCATTCTGCAGGACAGAGAGTAAGGTCTGAAAGGATCTTTATTTTCCCTGCACAGTCACACAAAAATTAGAAAATACCCTGTTTCATAGCAGGGGAGCTTCTGTAACTGATTTGACCCTGAGCATAGATCTCAAGCACTGGTGCAGTATATTCAAAGCCTGAATTTCACCATCTCTGGCTCATACCCATCACTCGCCACACTTGCCAAGTGTGTGGGCCCTCTGCAAGCCAGCCCATGCTGTGCACACTCTGGGCACTTGGGTTGGATGGACACCTTTCCCTGGTTTTCGCATAATTTCATTTCTGTCTCAGAGTACAAGAGCACAGCAAACAGAAAAACAAAGTGGGCAACACAACAAAGTGACAGCATGATGAAAACGCTCTGCCGGTTATCTGTTTTGTCTTGTTGCCAGATAATGGAGCGGACGCCAGCACACAGGAAGGATAACCTCGCTGTTTACAAGTGCTCATGAGGCAGAGTGGCTAGAAATGTTATTTTTATGTATAGATATATAGGGAGAGTATATACATACTTAAATCAGAAAACTATTAAAATTTTGAAGGCTGTATAAAAAGTATGCTTTGTCATAACACTTCACCTTGTTTATATGTAGATTACTAGAGCATTCCTCTAGAAGTAATTCCCTAAGCAGGAATCTGTTTGATATGACTTAGTTTTTTTGCCTTTTAACACGATAAATGGGGTTGCAACCTTAAAATATACATAGATATATACATATTCACACACACAGCCAGTTTGATTAAACCATGATCTGGCTCAGTGAGAAGAGTCCATTTGCACAAAGTCCCAGAAGGGGCAGAAGGAAGCCTAGTCCCAGCTCTTGAAGAGGAGAAACAGCTCATCTGCCAGGCTGCCCCCCAATAAATAGAGAGAGGAGTCATAATCTCCTTTTCCTTCCATCTCCCCCAGGGAGGGAACAGAGTGAGTCAGTGTTTGGGTGCAAGGTGCTGTGTTCAGGGACATGAGCCCAGATTGATCCTATCTAACCGCGGGCACCTGAAGGGGAGCACAGAGATGATCAGCACCTTATAGCCATTATATTTTGTGACATTCTGATCTAAATGAAAGACAGATTTCTACTATGAGAAGTGTGGATCTTTGGGCTCTGTTAGCTCTGCTTAAGTAACAATTTTTCTTTTTTGTACAGACTGCAAAGGTTTTTTTACATGACCTTACAGAGATAAATAAGCATGCTCTGATACCATACCATGTTTTACACGAAGAGTAGACCTTAAAAGGAAACATCATAATTGCCTACAGTCTATTTTAAAATCATAATTTTTATTAGTTAAAGAAATATTTTATGCAATATATTTTGGAAAACAACATCCTTTCATCAGATCCACTTACTTGGGTTTGGAGGGAATAGCGTGCAGCTTTTGCAGTGAATTATTTCTTTGACTACAGGCACATCTGTTGGTGGTGGTGGTGGCACTAACCCCATGCCTGGTATCATTGGGTTAATCGGAGTGATTCCAGTCATCATGCTAAGACTTGGATCAAAGCCTGGTACACAGATTGAATCTGTAAATATATAACATAAAATCCTGGCTTATAAATCTTGAAACTACTTGTTACTATTTTCTTGCACAGATCGTTTTGCTTTAGGCTTTTTTTTCCCCAAGCATCACTGTTAAAAAAAGGAGAAGGGGAAAGGAAAAATGAAAAGGGAAAAGGCAGAGCAAGAAGGAGAGGGAGAGGGAGAGGGAGAGGGAGAGGGAGGGAGGTGAATTTTCAGTGAAAAAATTATGCATGAAGAAGGGCATGTTACATAATTTAAAATATTAATATGACTGAGTAAAACACAGCACATTAAAGTGTAAAACCATGCACCATGAATATCTGTTATTATCTGGAATCCAATTTTCTGTTTCATAACGCTACTGTGGTGTTTACATTGCCTTCTGACCAGAGTGTACGAAGAATATAATTTAACATCAATATGCCCTCTCCATCTAATTGTCAGACAGATTTATCACAACATAGCCTTCTCACATAAGTGACCTTGATTTACGAACACTTCAGAGAAAGATCCATTTCTGGCTGTTTTATAGAAGTGTAGTTAGGCAAGACTTCTAACCACTTTATCCTGGAATATCAAGTTTCGGCTGTGTAGAATGGGGTATTTTTGAACCTTGGAATTAATTCCTTCTTGTCCTGTTATTTAATCGAATTAGTAGATTCTCTTTAACACTATAGCCCCATAAAGTAAAATGCATATTTGGCAGACGCTACACTGTCTCCTTCCTGATCTCTTTGCCAAGACTTCCATACGTATTACTTAAAGCTGAAAGATTTACTGGGGAGCACCAGTGCTGTAACACCAAGAATTGTAATAAGCAGATGTTTCAGATGAACTGAGAGCCAACTTCTGAAATTTGCTTTCGTTAAAAACAAGGCTTTGGGTTTCTTGAAGCATAATGAATAAAATATTTTGAGAGACTGATCTCTTTGTTGGCATAACACTGCTGCTATTTGGCATCATCAATTATTTAAAAGAAGAGCATTACTTTGGTGTTCTACAGGTTTTCTGCTGAGTTTTCTGGCTAGCAACTGGAAGTACTTAATGATACATGTGAATGTAGGGTTTGGTAGCTTGGGAGCTTGTTTGTTTTGAAGAAGCAAAGAGGGAAACAACTTCTTCTCCGGGATTTTTAGATACATATATATGTTTAGGAAATGTGGTCCACATTTTCTACAAGGCAGCATGATCAATTGAATGTGACCAGAGAGGCCTGTTTCTTCATCCTAAATCTACTGCTGAGAAGCTATGTGACCCTGGGTCAGGCCAATGACCTTTCTGTATCTTAATTTCTGCATCTCCAAAACAGGTACAATAATACTCACTGGTGAGGATTAGCTCACATTTTTATAGCACTTTGCAGGTTTAAAGTACTCTGTGGAGGCTGAAAATTAGCATTATGATTCCTGTGAAACATCCGCAATTATCTTCTCTGGGGAAGACAACTGAGGACTGAGAACCTCCACTCCAATGGAGCTCGTATCTGTCTTGGCTGCACGCTCCCTGCTCTCTATGCACTGACTGTGAGCCTTCATCACTTTCAGGCAGTTCTGTACAACAAGTGTAGCAAGCGCACAGCAAGCGAGGATTTGCTTTAGGCTTATTGAAGACTAGCATTAATGAAAACTCATGATATTACATTACTTTTTTTAATAAGTGAGCTTATGAAAACGATTTGCTCTGGGTGTGATGCTGTTTTTCAATATCGATGTATATGCGTTGCTTTTCAGATTAAGCTTTGAAACTCGGAGCCTGTCATTTATTTCACGGGATGCAGTGGTGGCTGTATTAAATATTCATAGTTAGTGAATGCTGGGCGATAAAGTCAGAGGTGAGAGGTCAACATACAATTCAAAGAAATCCTTAGGCTATGCTAATTTGCTTGATCTCATTTTTAAAAGTCAGACTTCTGTCAGTCACAGCAGTCCATCCTGCGCAGCGCTCCCCTGCTGCGGGTGGAAGTCCATCATTACTTCTCGCTGCTAAAGCGACCAGCAGAGTGCCGTGGCACACAAAGAGGAGCGCCATAGCAGCACTCAATGCATTGTATCGTACTGGTCCTCTCCTAGGAGCAAAGAAAACCAGCACTGGAAAGATGCTGAGTTGGGCATCTTGTTCATCCCTCTTGACAAAGGTATGATCAGCTACAGTCCTAGCCAGATATGAAATTTCATATTAAATACAACATCCACAGCAGACCCCACAGCATTCTGAGGCAAGGATGGAACAGGTGGGATGTACAAGAAAATGGACAGAAGGCCAAGTTCTTTTTGTCCTGTATGCATCTTTCAGGCCCCGTGTGACAGCAAAGGAAAAACACCTTCACCTGGCAATTGCTACCACAATTTGTATTTAACCATTGCTGTTCTCTCTTTAAGACAAACACTAGATACATTTCAGCTTCGGTACAGGAGTAATGAACTAAAACAACAGCAATCTCTGCCCAAACCACAGACACATTCTCTCACACAAAGCCAAGATGACAGGTTTCAATAAGCTATAATTTTCTGAATATAAATTTAAGAGAGATGGCAACAAGGGAACTCACATCCACAAACATTGTGAACATGGCCTTGAAAGGGAACTGGGAGGGAGAATTTTAAGGTTGTGTGACAATCAAAGCAGGTTTGTGATTTAAGTGGAAGAAAATTATTTGCCACTAATTCCTGCCGTGGCCATGGAAATGTGACATTGTAAGTAACTTTGCCCATGTTAAATAAGTACATGGCTTTGTCATCAGTTTCTTTTACAACTGGAATCAATCTACAAAAGCATGAGCAGAGTGCTGGGAGACAAAACTCACAAAATGTCCTCCTAGGTGAGCAAGGACTCCGTGCCTCCAGGAGGTGACTATGCTGAGGTATATTGAAAAGGCAGAGGACTCAGTCAATAAATCTTGACATCTAATTCCATATCTTGCAGACACTAATCCAAACCCCACTAAGGTCAATAGCAAGATTACTGAAAGCATGAACAGATTTTAACCAAGAGCAGGTTTACTTTCTCTGACTTCTTGAATAAGGTGCTTCAGTGTTAAATTGAGAATGAAATGCTTTCATACATGAGCACTGAAAGGATGCACAGATACCATTTGTAGAGCATCCTGGAAACAAAAATAATTCTCTGCATACTAAAAACTATTACTATGCATTGCAGTGATGGAAAATTCAGCTGGATCTCTGAACAGTGAAGATCTTGTTCAGACCCCCAAAGAGATTGGTGGTGCTTGCTCCTACAGAAAAGCTGATGTACACCACCTACGTATTGCTGACAAACCAAGAAGAGAGCCTACAGATGGGATGTCCAAAGGAAATACTGCTCTGGGCTCTGAGGTGCAGAGAAGAAGAAGAAACTGATAGAGTCACTGGAAAGGAAAGTCAATAAATTTGCCACATCTGTGATAGGATCCAGAAAAATTCCAAGTTTAACTATATTGATGCTACCAAGTGGTGCAATAATAGAAGCTGGATATATAGCTCTTGTCTAGGGATAGGGGATGATCATCCATCAGCACCACCACTGCAGTCTGCTCCATATCCTAGCATAATTCCTATTTGGAGCAGGACCAGGACACCAGAGTTAGAGCTGGAGTCAACTAAAAATACTAGTGAGTTTGTTGGTCTTCAGAAGCAAAAATACTGATTGACTTACGCAGGATTACAAAAAATGGGAATCAACCCTGCCCGCATTATGGTCTTTTTTGAGATCCATTTAGATATATGATTAGTAAGATTCTGTAGGCATGAAGATGCTACACTAAACACAGAGATACATTAAATATGCATACTACACATCTGAAGAGTTAAACAAGTAATATTTTACGCTTTTGATAATCATAGCATATTTTTAAATGATCTATACATATATTTAAACAGCTAGGTATGGGTTTATGATGTCTGGGAATTATGAAAAACAACTTGGCAGAAGAGAGCAAATGAAAAATGTTAATAAATAATTACTAAATGAAATAATTAAAATAGAATGCAATCAGAGATGATAAAGAACTTCAAGAATGGAAAAGCACATGTTGTTCAAGTTAGAGTCCCTGAGGATACTACACATGAGGCTTGAATATTTACACATTTGTACAAGAAAGTGAAAGCATTGAACATCAATATTTTCAAGTCCACGTTTGCCTAAATTTGGCAAAACCAGTTAATTCCTGTCTCATCTAATAAGAAATTGGTGTGGTGGAGAACAATGAAAACCTCTGAAAACAAATATCTGGAATTGGCAGGCAGAGAGGCCAGAAGAAAAATCGTGTTCAACACTTGGAGTATTTGTTAGAGCTCCTTTTTATTTTAAGTAGAACATAGGAAGAACAAAATGTTTCACATGAAACTTTTGGGTCTGTAAAAAAAGAATAATAATAAAATCCCTTTAAGGATAACTATATTCTAACACAGTATGTAGTGTAAAACAATTGCTTTTATTAGTCTCCATTTTGGGAATGTAGGAGTAACTTTGTTATCCATAAAATAGCCACACAGTCTTGGAGAAGCATCCTCCCTTCCTTCTTCGGCAAAGGTTGCTGTCTGAAACACCTTTTGTTTTTGCCACATTATTACTCTGCCCAAAACCCACAGATGCACACTCCCGCCAGTTGTGCTTTTGGGGATTGCACTCCATCACCAGTACTAACTGACCACCACATTTCCACCACCCTTCCCACAAGTATGTATCTGCTCACTGTTGCTTTTTAAGGGTATAATCCCCTCTCAGATTCTCAGTATTAGCCCTTGGTGGTGTCATTTGTTTTGACTGCAACTGCCAATTGTTTCTGTGGTGTTTTATGACAGCTGCCAAGTTGTAATTCTGGTGGATGCATAAGAACACCTGTGAGTTCAAACACAGATTTGTGTGCCTCTGCTCGCACACATGGACAGTTTCCACCACAGACATCGTCAGCCACGTGGCTCAGACCTGTTGGTCTGACACACGGAGAGAAGGAGACAGTGAGTGGTGAAGATAATGATCTGAGCACAAAATAGTTAATGAAAAT